CTGGCAAAGTCCCGGACACCCTTCCCCAGAAAACAAGATGTCACACGTAACACATAACGCCGCGCACATCACTGGGGAGGCCAAGGCCACAGGCTCAGAAGCACAGGATCAACCGCTGGGCAAGGCGAACTTGGATCTGCCCCTTAGGCACTGGGTCTGTAGGACCCAGATGAAATCCATCCTTTCTTCCACGGGACGATGTCCATGAGCCAGGCCTGTAGGGGCCCCGGCTCCCCTTGGCCATGTCCCTCCATCATTTATCAAACATTGGCTGAGCCGGGTCTGGTGCTGGAGGTAAGCGATGAGCTCAGATAAGTTAGCAGTGCTGGCCTTGGGCTGGACTCCAGCTGTGACCCCCAGGGGCCCTGCCCCTGATCCATCTCCACTCACCAGTAGATGCTCCTGACTGGATGACACAGCCCAACCCCACACCCAAAAAATACCACCACACACTGCCATCTTCCTAAAGGTCGTTTTATTGTAAAACCATAAATACAACACCGACATGAAATCATTTAAGCAACTGATCCTCTCTAACCATTAAAAGGATGTCTTTTGCCTTGGCATCAACCAACCAGGAAATAATGTTGCAAGAATTCATGGGGTCGAGGGGTTCTGAATTCTGGGCGGGGGCTTTTGGCGATTTAAGGAACCAAGTGGAACCTTCCTCTTCTCCCTGGGAATGTCCCACTTTTGGACAAGAACAGACAGTTAAAAACAGCAACATTTAAACAGCTCAGTTTTAAATTTTATTTCTTCGTAAAAATCTTTCCTTTTTCTGTCCCTTTCCTCCATTTGACATCAGTAAAAGTTTGAAACATCACGAAATTCATTTGGCTGTAAATGGAGAAAACGGTACCAGGGACCCAAACAAAGTGAAACGGAAAAACCCAAAGGACAAACAGAAAACCCTTAAATACACCCACAAGTTTGGTCTCGGGGGCTCACACATCTCACAAGAACCGTCAACGCAACCCCCATGCAATGCGACCCCTTGCAGAGCTGTCGGACCCACAGGCTGTTGGATCCACACCGACACAGGAGACCGCAAACAACGTCTTTTGTTAATTAACACAGCAAGGGTGACACTAGGTAACTTTTTTTTTTTTTAAATACAGTACATGGTACACAGGGTCCCAAGATGGCCCTGTATAAACCCCTCGTGGAGACTTGAGCCAAGCACTGGCTGTTATAAAAATATTGTGTTGCTACAAAAGTATAAATTAATGCTACCGGTATTAAGAAATATTAAACACATAAAACTTATAAGGATTAAGAAAAATATTCATTAATACCTGTAGAAAACTCTGGCCTAAAAAAGATATTTTTTTGTGTTTGTTTTTTTTTGTAAATTTTTTTTTGTATTTTTTTTTAAGATGACTTGAGTTTCTTGCACTCGAAGAGAGAGACACAGTCAGATGTGCCTATGGTATTGCCTAGAACGTCTTCACTACTGAGAAAGGATGGGGGTGCGCGCACGTGGCTACGGAGTGGAGCCTGGGAGGGAGGGGCACCAAGGCTTTCTCAAGCTTTACCTGATGTGAAAGAATCACCGACGGGAAGTTGTGGGGGAAAGACAAAGGGAGGATCAGAAGAGAACGGAAAATAATTTATCCTTTTTTAAAAAATATCTCTGCCTCGGGTAGTTGTACAAAATGATTTCCTGATGGTTGGGATCTGAATGGCCCTGGACACATTGCCCGGTGGGTCTGAGCCTTCAGCCCCGCAGGTCCCTCTGTCTCTTGGGTGGTGAGTCCCAGCCCCAGGCCAGTCCACGAGCTGGCTCACTGCTTGGGAACCCAGCTGCCCTGGCTGGGCGGGAGGGGGTCCCCCTGGGTTGTGGGAGGAGCCCCTCCTTCCAGCTGGTCTCAGACCCCCAGGTCTCTGCCAACCTGGACTTCAGGAAGCGCCACAGGGATCCCAGGCCCCTGAGGTTGCAGTCGAGGCTGGGCTGTGCCCCTGTAAGGAACTTTGGTTTGAAGAGTCAAGGTGCCCAGTGGATGGGTGGGACCCTCATGGGTCCAATGCTGACGCCCAACTGCAAACCCAGCAGATCCTCCTCGGAACAGGAGCCGAGTCTCTGAAGCGACACCGTGGTGGTGGCGGTGGGGGCATGAATAGACCAACAGGATCTTCACCCTCATCCACGCGGGAGCAGGCGCCTTTTCACAAGGACAGCACAGGGCCCCTCGGGGAAAGGCAGGCCCCTACTGGCTACGATCCTCAAACCCAAATGGGAGCCCAAGAGAAACAATCAAATCCGCCAGAAAATCCTGAGGGGGGAGCCAGGAGGGAGAGGAGAGGGAAAACACTGCATCATTGGTTCACCATAACTGGCCTAGCAAACATTAGCCACAGTGAAGAGGGGGCAGCCCCATCCCAAGACTCCCACCGGCCCAGGTGGATACCGGGGGCTGGGCCAGGGCAGGCAGGGCCAAGACAGGAGTCCCCACCTCCTGTCTCCGGGGACAGCCTGAGACTTCCTTAGCCTCTTGGTTCTGTCTAAAGCAGCAGCCTGTCTAGGAGCTCTCCTTCAGGTACATCCCCAAGGCCAGGGCGTAGCCATGAACTCAGTCCAGCTCCAGGGGGCAGGAGCCCACCCACGTGCTCCTCTTCCTCTTCCATCTCTGCAAGCGTGTCCCTCACGATGACAATCTCCAGGTGCTGTCCCCTCCGGGCCATTTCTCACGGGCCCTCCTTCTCCATCCGCATCCCAGCCTCATTTCTAACCTTCCTTGTGACCCCGTGGAGCCCAGAGAGCATGCGCTGTATCCTTGACATCCCTCCAGGGGCCCACGCACTCTCCAAGGAGCCCGGCCCAAGTCCAGGAGGAGGCAGGCAGCCAGTCTCCCGCAAGCACGGGGGACTCCCAAAGACAGAAGCTCGGCGTCACAGTGGAAAACCTGCCCTGCAGTTTGCCTCCGGTGTTTCTTGAAAGCGAAGGACAGGAGCAAACCGAAGGAGAGAACTCCTGGCAGCCTATGGACCTGGTGTAGACAAACAGTCCTTCCTAGAATCCCAGAGACCCACACTCCTCAGTGTGCCATCAGGCCTTGCCCAGCCAACAGCCACTCTGAAGGCCAAGCATGAGGTTGCCAGGGGGGCTGTAATCAGACGCAGCAGGGGGCCCCTCCCTGGTGTTTCCTGGTTTCTAACTACCACTCGGCTGACCGAGGCGCAGGGAAGGCAGGACATTGCTGGGACAGGAGCATCCACTCTCGATGACTGGGATGGCACCGCTGCTCCTGGTGGAGTCGAGACCCCCTGGCTACTCCAAATCTGAGGACCACCCAAGAAGCACGGTCCTTTGGGCTTGGGTGGGGAAGCCAGCTGACCTCAGGGGAGGGGCCAACCCCGCAGTCTCCTCTTGGGTCCGTGTACGCCAAAGCAAAGACCCGCTCTGTCCTGGGAATCACGTGGCTTGAGACAAGTTGTGTCCAAGTCAGCAGGCGAACACCTGGAGCTGCCCAGAACATGACAGGAACGGTCCCTGGTCTGCCAGCTGCCGCGGGCCTGTGCTGGGAAGTCCCACAGCTGTCAGAGGAGCAGGAAGCAGGAGACAAGACCCTTCCGTAGGTCAAGGCCAGGTCCGGTGCCTGGAGATTCAGTGGAAGAGCCCACCTCCGTCCTTTGGCTGAGCTAGAATCTGAACAAGGTGGATATTGCTATAAATCGGGGGCCAGTGGCTGGACCTGTGAGATCTTTGGGTTGTTAAGCGGTTGGTGGCAGCAGGATCTGCACTATGGGAACTGCCTGCGTGAGGAAGCAGGCTGAGGGGGAGACACCAGTTTCTGGGGATCCAGAGGTTGCGAGAGAGAGACGGCTACCGGCCACCTCATCACCACAGGTGGTCAAGGCAGCCCCAGGAGACAGCTTCAGCGCCTGTCCTGAGGACTAAACTCAGGTGGAACGGAAGACCGGATGACGACACGTGACTCGGTACCTAGAATTTAGTGAGACTCAAATTTCATTCTGGAGGGCTGACATCCCGTCGTCCAAAGACTCTAAATGCACATCTGGACTTGGTCTCTGATGGCTTTACAAGAAAATGAAATGTGTACTTCCTCACGAACTGGCCGCAAAACGGGGCAACACCAGCACACAGCTCTGCTCCACGTAGAGGGAGGATGGGCCCAAGACCGTTTCCACCGACCACACCAAGGGAGCAGCTCTGACCCTCCTGGTGTGGCCCCTTCCCCGGCAGCAGAGCAGAGCAGGGTGGGAGGAACCTGGAGCTGGAGGTACCTGTCACTCCTCCGCACCCCTGCGGCCACCTTCTGCCAGGCCCGGAGGCCCGAAGTCCGCCGAGACACTCTAGGAAGTGACATCAGGTGACTGGCCAGTGCGAACGGAGGCTCTTCTGATGGCGTGAGCCCAGCTGGAGACGTTGCGGGGAAACACCTAGCCCTTCTCTGGGTGAGGAAGTGGCAGGGCGGGGGCTGAGGCCATGGCTTGCTGGAGAGAACGTGCCCACGCCCACTCTCATACATTGCAGTACATCCAAGTCTCGGAGGGGTGGTTCTCATGAGGCAAAGTGAGCAGGCGAGGCCCCAGGGGACAGTGTTTCCATACCAGCGTCGCTTGCCCATCTGCCATGGGCCAGGAGAGGGCAGGGTACAGTGCTTTCTGTAGTCGAGGTATCTGGCAGTTGAGTAATGCTTTCTTAGGAGGAAGGGGTGGAGTCGCCCTAGCCCCCAAGACGGTAGAATGTGCCGTTGTGGAAGCCACGTGGCCGACCTCAGCCTGAAGCCCTTGGTGTCGCCATCTCCATGCCACAGCCATGGGCACCGGAGGACAGGAGACCACCAGCACTTTATTCACAGAGAGGTGGGCCAGGGCTGATCACTGATCCTGACGGAACCACCTCTTAAAGGGGTGGGGGAGGGGGGCCACCCTCGGTGTTTGGACTGAGTGTGTACAAACGGAACTGCTCGTGGAGAGAAAAGCCTACGGACATCTTTCACAGCATCAAGTTCAGTGTGGCCTCTGCCATTCCACCCTCCATACATCAATCGTTTGGCCCGCAAGGCACCGCGCGTAACTATTTACTGGAAGGAGGGCTGAGGCTCGAGTGTGGCGACCCCAGGGCTGTGGGCAACAGACCCACCAGAACCCCTGGGGTCCTGGGGAGGGGTGGGGAGGCAGTGGGTCTGAGGTGTAACGGACGTGAACGTGGATCAGCTCAGGAGTCCCTGCTGAGCTGAGAGTGTCAGTGATGTGGCGAGTGGTGTAATGCACTCTGGGTATATCAGTCGGACATTCGCAGGACCGGACGCAGCGAGCCAGGAGGGTGGGCCTTCACTTACATTCAGGAGAAATCCTCAACCACAGGCATCCCTATGGCTCCCACCAAACCCCGCTCCCGTGGAACCTGTGACTCCAACCCCACTCCTGGTCTCCACACAGCACAGACTAGTGCGTGGTCCTGGCTGTTCGAATACACAGACACGGGACTGTACAGGGGAGGCTAATGGAAACCGTAGGAGGGCGAATATACCACTGAGATGAGCTAGTTTACAGTGTGACTTGAGGAACAAAAATGGCAATTTAAAAAAAAAACAACCTTCAAAACATAAGTTATAGACATTCAGTGCCTCCTAGCAGAGTCTAAATCAAATCTGAAAAAAACAAAACCAAAAGGTAAAAACAGCTAAAATGTTAGGAAGAGAATTAAGGAGTGGAGATAGTATCTATACTTCTCTGAAATATGTCTTTTTTCTTCTTCTTCTTATATTAAAAAGCCAAAAGTCAGCTTTCTATTCTTAAAGTCTCCTTTCCTGATCTGGGGAGATAGATAGGTGTGTTTCTAAGGCGGCTGCCCCGTGACACCCGCCGGTGTCTCGAAGGCAGCTGCTCAATGCCCTGAAGGTGAACAAGAACAAAGTCCAGTGCAGAAACTGTCCATCTGATGCAGTTTGGAGAATCCATCGCAGGGCAGCCGGGGAGGGTGCATTAGGGTGAGGAGGGCTGGGGGGAGGGTGCATGAAGGGAAAAGGGGGACCATGGGCTGAGGACAGAGCGCGTCAAGTCACTTCAGATCTCAGCTGCCTGAACACTTTGCAACATCGGCGTCCTACCAACCTGCGCACCTGAAAACCAAGTCTTCGAAGCCCCTTGCCGAGGAAACGAGGTGAGCGTTTTCCCTCTTTCCCACACCCTCGGCTTTCCCGACACCCCCAGTTTAATGCACACGCGCCCACGAGCAGGCGTGGACATGCACCAGGGTAGTATGTGTGTGCACGCGTGCGCGAAGCTACGGCGGCCACGCAGATGAGCAAAAGAGCCTCGCGCCCGCACCCACGGTCCGCGTGCTGGGACACACATGCACACACACACTGGAAAAAGCACTTAAGTTTCCAGGGGGCGTTTAGAATGAGGTCCACAGTGTTTAGAACTTAAACTCCTTTCCTTTGTTTGCGACAGTGTTGTGTAAATTCATTTCCCTACCGTTCTCTCTCGCTTTTCTTTTGTTCGGAAGTAAGAGTCTTAAAGCATGTTGGACTTCAGAAACATGAGTTTGTTCATATCTTCGGGGCTGAGCAGTCGCCTCCTTTTGATGAGAAGCGCCTGCTCACACATACTGACACACCCACTCCTGGCCCCCACGGCCGGGACCGCGAGGAGCCAGAAGGCCAGCTTGGCGAGTTTCGTGTGCTTCTGGGTCACGCACGACCAGTACTGGAAGAGATCGGGGGTGGCCTGGAAGAGGGGCTCCTGCAGGTAATCGTACACCTCGTTCTTGCCCAGCCGATCGTCTTCCTGAGCGGCGGGGTTCTCGCCGGCGGCGGAGCGCGGCTTCTTGGCGGCGGGCTCGAAGTCGGCCTCCTCCGTCCAGGACTCCTTGACCTCGTTGATGAGCTCACACACCTTGCCGATGATCTCCTCGTGCTGATACGGCGGGACCGGCCGCAGCTTCTGCTGTGGGTCCAGGATCATGGCCACCTTATGCGCCGGGTGCACCTTGAAGTTCTCCTTGAGGGCTTCCAGGAAGAGGTGGCACAGCTTGCTGACCGTGCCCGCGTCGTTGGCCTTGGACGTGAACAGCTTCTCCAGCCGGACGTAGGTGGGCAGCACCAGCTGCAGGGTGGGCTGGCTCTCGTTGCTCAGCTCGATGACCGCCTGCTTCACCGGCGTCAGGATGGCCGCCAGGTTGCTAAGCAGGTGCTTGTTGAGGCTCTGGATGAGGTTCATCTTCTTGGCCCGGCTGTAGAACTCGCAGATCTGCTCGTAGCGCTCGTGCACCAGCAGCAGCGAGTCCGTGACCGAGTTCCAGCAGGGCGGCGGCGAGGTCTCCTCCAGCGACCCGAAGGTCTCCTTGGCGAGGCCGGTGGAGCCCGCCAGGTCCTCGCACACGTTGAGCAGCTCGATGACCTCGTGCATGCTGCGGGCCTGCAGCGTCCGCTTGCTCAGCACGCTCTGCACCACCGAGTTCAAGGCACAGGCTGAGCAGCGGAGGCACATGCCGGCCTTGGAGAAGGCGGACGCGCTCACCCGGCAGTCCGTCACGTACACTGTCCTGATCTCCGACATCACGAACTCTGACAGCACGTTCTGCACCCAGTGGTGCACCAGGTCGCCGCTGTCACGGATGTCCGCTCCCTTCACACCCAGCACATAGCTCTTGATGTGGTTGCCCTCGGCCTGGTAGGCAGTGAGGATGTAGCAGGAGTCGGGGCCCACGCTCTGCGAGTGACAGGTGACGCCGATGCCCAGGCAGGCGTTGCTGCCCAAGGCACACGTCACCTTCACCTTCACCTGGTTATACATGCGCGGCAGGTGCTTCAGTGCCAGCGTGTTGAAGTTGCCCAGGATCTCGGTGACGGAGAAGGCCCCGTAGCGGGCGCCACTGTCCACCAGCGTCTGGGCCAGTTTCAGGAACTCCTTTCCACTCACCACGCTCAGCGCTCCCAGGTCAGCGCACATGACCCGCAGCAGCCGCTCTGCGATGTTCTGCCGCTCCTTCTCGGGGATGATGCTGTTGGATGTTAAACCGCTGGCCGTGGCTGGCAGGGGACACAAGGAGAGATCGGATTAACCCTGGCATCCAAGGCTCCTTGATCCAGCAGCAGGCTAATACTCCCAGCATCTATTATTAGGAATTATGAACAGATTTCATCTTGCACAGAAATTACATGAGTTTCATGAGAATAACATTCTATGACTGATGGATTGATAATGCCTGCCATGGCCGTGGGAATACAACACAGTGGTATGTGTGCAGCATACTTGCTGCATGGGCCAGTCACCTAGACTTTTGAAACCAACTAGTCTAATCCAGTGGTTGGCTAACTGCGGCTCACGAGCCACATGCGGCTCTTTGGCCCCTTGAGTGTGGCCCGAGCCGCAGTTTGCCGACCACTGGTCTAACCTCTTCCTCAGTATAGCAAAGGCTGCTAATAAAGGCCCCTCCAGTGAATAAAATGCAGGAGGCCAACATGTCAGGAAAGAGCAACCAACAGAAACTGTGAGAGTGGATTCCAGTTCTGATCCTGTCACCAATTTGGACTCTCTGATCACACACAGATCACCTCCTCTCCCCAGGCCTCCTTCTGCCGATCCTATGAGTTCTTACTAGTAAGTGTGAAAGTGCTTTGGAAACTGTTATGCATGGCCTTCCGTCTCCCTGGGAGGCACAGGTGGTGGGGATGGGGGCAGAAGGGAGCAACCCGAGCGGGGGCTGGAGGTGCGTGGGGCAGACCTCCGCGAGTCCCCCGGCTCCAGCCTGGAAGAGACCTACTGTTGTTGGCGCTGTTCCTCTGGGCCGGGGGTTTCCACTTCTCTTCCACAACAGCGGGTGGCGACCGGGACTGGTTAGAGGTGATGTTGTTCTCGTTGTCGGCTGTGGGCACAAAGGGGATGGTGTGTCACCCTACAGTATCAGAGGCCTGTGGACTAAGAGGCGAGAACTAGAGCGTGTTGGGGGAGGGCACGCATGCCCCCTGCGACTGAGGCCTGGAGCCAAATCCTGGCTCCTCCTCACACAGCTACCTTAGGTTTGCGAAGCCTCATTTTCATCATTTGGAAAAATGAAGATAATCACACAGATGGGACACAACTGCTGGAAGGACTAACCAGAGATAACGCAGGGAAAGGACGGAGCACAGTGCCCGGCATGGAGTAAATGCTGAGCAAATGGGGATCACAGCACCCGGGTCTGGCTGGGAGGTCCCCCCACCCCGCCCCACACACAACCCCAGAATTCTAGCTCTGAAATGGGGGAGGGGTTCCAGTTACACCCTAAAGCATTTCACACCCTCACGTCTTCAAAGTGGTTTTATTTTGGACTTTTCAGTATATTTGTTAGAAATTTAGTTTATGGGGCTGGCATTATCCTGATCCAAAACTAGAGAAAAACATTACAAGAAAAGAAACAACAAACAATATCCCTCGTAAACATATACACAAAAGTCCTTAACATAATATTAGCAAGCTAGAGACAGTAATATATAAAAAGAATAGCATAGCATGACTATGGAATTTATCCCAGAAATCCAGGTTGAGGTTAATAATTGAAAACCAATCAGTGTAATGCCCTATACTAAGTGGAAAAAACAAATAGAAAAATCATGCCCACGGATATAAATGCACATTAAAATATGACCAAATTCAACAGCCACCCACGACACAAACTCTGAGCCAACTAGGAAGAGAAGAAAACATTGACTTGGTAGAGGGCGTCAGAGAAAACTTGATGGAAATAAAAAGGATTATAAGGAAATACTACAAACAGTAGTCGTCCAATAGATTAGATAACCTGAGTGAAAGAGACATATTCTTAGAAAGACATAAACTACCAAAAATGATTCAAAAACCAGGAAATCTGAATAGTGGTTTCCAGGGCTGGGATGCAGGGAGGGCCTGGCTGCACGGAGGCAGGAGGGAGCGTTCTGGGTTGATGGTTAACCCGTCCACCTGTACTCTTAAACTTGTGAACTTCACTTCTGTAAATTATATCCCAATGAATCTGACTTTAAAACGACTGAAGAGAAACCCATTAAGAGAGCAACAGTGGCTAACTTTGAGATTAGGGCCCGTTCTTCATTTCCCAATTTCTCTGCATTTTCCCGAATTTCTTTTAATGAACAGATCTTACATTTAAAAAGGGGGAGTGCAGATTTTAAAATGGAAACCGGCAGCCTTTCTTGTGGACGTCCTCCACTAGAGCACAGGGATCTGGAAGGCCTGGGTGTGAACCCAGCTCTGCCAGGGCTGTGGGTGTGACCACGAGTTCGTCACTTCTGGGCCTCAGTTTCCCCTCCTCCCTCCAAAACGCTGGGGCTGGACAAGCTGCTGGGTCATTCCCTCATTCTGACTGTCCGCAGGACTTGGAATCCAAATTACTCAGCCTAGCATTAGATAACGCTGTCTGGTATCGGTTGAATAAAAAAATAAAATGTTCCCTCCATCTCTCAGATGCTGCTATTGCATGGGTGAGGTGCTGTAAATGCTCTGTAAAAAGACTTGATTTATAGCTTGAGCTGGACATAACATTTACTCTGTGTGGCTATCCCTATGTACACAGGCGTGCGCGCACACACTCTCACACACACACACTCACACACTCACACTCACGTCTGGTCTACAAGGGGCTGGATGCAAAGCTGGAATAAAGGCTGTCCCCCAGGGAGGGACCAGTGCAGGGAGGAGGAAGAGCATGGGGCTAACATCATGACTGCATAGCCTTGGACTTTTCAGTATATTTATCAGGAAGTTACTAGGCCATTTTGTGCCTCCGTTTCCTTATCTGTAAAGTGGAGCTAATACAGACACTCAACTCAGAGGGATGCTCTGAGGTTAAGTGAGCTAATGTGTGTGAAACTCTGAGAATAAGTCCTGGCACCAAGGAAGAGCTCAGATCATGTTAGTAGCTGTTTGGACCAGTGATTCTGTTCTCTGAGCCTCAGTTTCCTCATCTGTACAATGGGATCCTGTCAGCTGCCGAACAGGCTTGTTCAGATGGAACGAAATAACCACCTGACACATACCGATCGCTCACTGAATGTTAGCTGTCTTTAGTATGATTACTGACAAAACAGGCTCCTGACCTATTACAAAGCAAGACAGGTATCCCTCCGGCACCGACAGGAAGTTTATTAGCGGGAATTACCCTGTGCCGTTCAGCAGCCTCTTAATGAGATTGGTGTTATTCGAGGCTGATCCCCCTTCGCAGCAGCGCTGTGAACTGCGCAGATCATGACGTTTAATTTCTCTCTATGGAGTCAATCCTTTAATCCCGACGCAGCCTGGCGGGGATTCAGCCTGGCTTTGCACGGGATTGCCTCCCGCATTCTCTGCCAGCACTGGACCAGAACAAAGCGGCCCAAAGCTCTTCATGGAAAAAGTGGAGGTGCTGGAGGAGGCGGGGCCACCAGGAGGTGCAGCCTTGATTTGCATTTTAATGGCCTCTGCCCCACTGCCTGAGGCATGGCCTAGCACCCGCTCTAGACTCTTCCCTAATTAGCCTCAGCTTCCAGAGGCGGCAGAGCAGGTGGAGGGTTGGGGCTTCAGAGGAGGGAGGGAGGGAGGGAGTGGGCTGTGGGAGTTTCAAGCCGTGGTCCCTGAGCAGCCTTCAACTGCTGTCACTATTCCCCATAAGGTCAAGTCTAAATGCCCCGAGCTGGCATTCAAGGTCTTCCCTGGGCCTCCCCACTCGCATCTCTGGCCTCTGCTCACTCTGACCTCAAGCCACACTCAACATCCACCTTCACATCTCCCTGGTCAGTTCCTATTTGGCCTTTAGGTTCAACATGGGAGCCACAACCTTCCAGAAGCCTGCTTCAGCCCCGTGCCACTCTCTGTGCTCTCCCGAGCCTGCTGTCCCCCTAACCCCACTCCGTGTTATAACCGATGGACTGGGGATC